AGGTTGTTTTAAGACTGAATATATTTATAGGTGTTCCTTGATGCATGTACCCATCTAGTAGCTGTGGTGTATGCCACACCACAGTTCCCTTGGGAGAGTGACGGGTCACTCTCATGTGACCCCGTTACAGTGTTCGTCGTTAGCTTTTGCGGGCAACCCTTTGTGGGCTACCGTAGGTGAAACATCTGCGTGTACCATGAAGCTGTTCAGCATAGCTGAGGTCTATTGCTTCTGGCACGTGTATAGTTTTTTTATCAGCATCCCATCCTGCCCTCACGATACGCCAATTGTATTCGCATTGAATGTGTCGCTCACTATTTTCTCGGAAAAAGTAGGATGGACGAGTATGATCTCGGTGCATGCGACTTCCCTTTGACGACCCTTCATGAATATGATAGCTGTTTCGCTTTGGGAATAGGGTAAGACGTTTTTGAGGCGATATGAGTTTTTAACTCCCGCACATAGTCTGCCAGTTCCCACCCACCCCTTGACCGAAAGACAACAAATTTTGAAGCCTTTACTATGTCTGTCTTAGCGTGCGAATACCCGCGACATCTGTCGCTTCAAATTGACCCACGTTGGCAATGCCTATTTATACCGAGGTATTTTACGAAATGTTTCATTTTTGCGCGCTACCTACTCGCTTGGAATTCGCAAGCACGACATGCTGTCGCTTCATTTCGAACAAGGCCAAATATATGGCCATCACAACTTGCCTCATCCAGAAGAAAAGACATTTCACGTCCATCCCCACCATAGATCTGGGCAGTCAACATCAGCTGTCTCATGGTGAGTATTACCTGATCTTCAATTGGCACCCGGGTGGGGCGCTCCTGGTTGTGCCCATCAACGCATTCTCAAAGCTAGTGAGCGCTTCCAGACGAGCGCTTATCAATTTCGACCTCTTGGACGTCATTTCTCTGGTCCCATGAGAACCAAATACAGACACATTGTAATTTATTAGTCGTGGCGACAGTATTTCGAACATTTTACATTCCATCCTATTGGAGAATATAGTCCTTTGACAACTCAGTTGTGGTTGTAGAATTGACTACAAATGCTATCAGCACAACGAAAATTCCGTGCACTTTGCACAAAGAAAACCTTTACTTGAAGGGTTCGCGCTAACTAACACAAACGTGCTCCCCAAAAGCATCTCTTTTGGAAAGATCAATCACAGCGGTAAGTTGGTGTTGACTCGGTCAAGTTGAAGCGACTTGAGGTGCAATATAAAAAAATACACAAATGTGTGATGTGAACTGCGTACAGATGTGCAAGAAATTGTACGCCGAGATGTGGAAGGTTTGCGGACAATAAATTTTGGTACATTATTGCATCTCTACATACAATATTTTTATATCGTTAGAATGTTCATTTTGTCAACTTCACACTCGATTTTAGAAGACTACGGTTAACTCACAAAAGCAATTTGTTGCGGAAGTCAAGATATATTCAACCGAATAGTGGGTCAAGCAAAAGCACGGATTGGGACCTAGCATGCACCCACCACCCACAACACAAGCTTCGCTTGACTATATTAAAATTGAAAATTTTCTTACTAAAAATGGCACTTGATGTATTTACTTTACGAAATGGATCAATATTAACCCAAATCATTGCTTTTACAGCATCATGATATTTATTTTTCACCTTGGAATGAGGCCTGACATGGTGTAGTGCAACAAAATACCTTTATATTATTCTGATGTTTGGAAAGCATTTTTTTATTAGTCTAGATATTCGGTGGTTAGTTTCTAGACTACGTAGCGATAGTGACAACCGGGCTATTTGCTCCTCGCCACCTTTTTCTATGAATGCTGAATGAAGCTCGAATAGGGACATCATGTGATGACGATAAAATTAAGACAGTGAAATTCTTTGAATAGGATCACTATAGGATGATCGACATTACAGTTCACCCGCAGAGAGTATAGATACATTCCGTCACTCGAAGTATGGAATGCGATATCGAATAATAGCCTTATTCTTCTTGTCTTGCTTCGGTCCACGAGCCGAGAAAAACCTGATTCTTCTAGATCAAACTTATTCCACTCATCAACATGGCAGTCATCTCACCTTCGAGTAAAAGGCCTACAAACTTGGGTTGTTTGTTATTACTGGAGCATTAGTACAATAAATTCGCCCCCCCTTTGACTTTTGTACACCCTGCAATGTAGTCGCCGTGTGCCTCGCATGGAGATAGCTGTTACTCTCAGACTTATGTATTAGTTTATGCACCACAATTCAATTTCCCTCAAGTTTTCATCCATCATCTATTGATCTTGCTATGTCAACGTTTAAGGCACGGACTGGATATATTTTGGGTTCAAGCAACCTTTATACACTTAATCTGATTCATACCCTTTCCTCACCCTTGTCTTTATTGCGGCCATGTTACTGGCTTGGTAAGTATCGACTCGTTTACATGCAGTATCCTTACAGTTCAGTTTGGTCGTAAAGATACCAATTGAGTTATGTCTTTAAAAAAGCAACTAATTACATCCAGTTTCCAAGTATCTAAGCAAACAAATTGAATAGTCGATTTATTATTCTGAATAGTAGTCTTGAGCGTGTGCTACCATAAAAAATAACATCTGAGAAAGCTGATAAACTAAGAGCCTTAAAAGTAGTAGTTCTAATAGTATTCCTGAGTCAAACTTGTAGACGTAATAGGAATAGTAATGAACATTAAAAATTAATAAATTTAATTTAGTAATTATTTCGAGCGCCATATGGCCTCGCAAAGTACTAATATATTTCATGAGATTATATATAGATAATTTTATATTTTTTGATCCGAATCAGGCACATCCGGATTAAATGCAGTTTCATGAAAATATGAACTTGTCAGGCCATTCAACTCGCTTAAAACGCAATAGAAGTTCTTTTTTAAAAATGGACAGCAGTTGTTTCGTATGGTCTTACGTAGTACATATTTGGCTAATAATATTATCTAAACTGTGTTCTTACATACCCATCTGCAAATGCAATCTCAAATGCCTTCAAGTCGATTCCAAAGCATAAAAAATGCCCGTCGCGCAGGGGGGACGCACTTACACGCGCGTATTGGGTGAGAAAAACGCGCCATCTCACCCGTCTCACAGCCTTGTATAAAGGTTTGGTGAAGTTGATATTCGATTAGAACGTCGGTTAGTTCTCGACTTTGCAAATAACTACCCACAAATCGGACATCAAAGTGGAATCCCGTAACCTCCACTTTCTGTTTTAATAGCCTCTTTCGTCGATATAAAACTGCATTTACAGCTACCAACCGAATAGTAACTTGCAACAAGGTCGGTCTCCCCTCGCTAGTGGGGAGCGTGCTTTGCGGACGCCTCTAAATCATCTGCAGGGGAGCCAAAGGCCGAGGTTGCACCTTTTCATCAACGGCAGCGGCGACAGGACTTTCGTGCCAAGGTGGTACAAAAGTTTCAAGAATTTCCGAAGTGAGAATAGCTCTCCCACTTCACTAGATACTGGTAACTGCCCGAATGTATCCGCCGGTACAATAAATGTTTCACGGAAAAGTGTACCACCCCTTGCGCATAAGGCAGTGCTGAAGGTTGTCAACTCTGATACGGCTAACGCTAGTGAACTTGCTTGATTGTGGTTGCACATCGACGTTTTTGGCGTGCACCTGAAACTGAGACGGGATCGATGTCAAACAAGCTTTCTGAGCTACGCCATCGCGCTACGTGCTATGAGGCTCTCTCAGCGGTTCAGGTACAGATCACTTTCCTGATACAGAGAGCAGTCCAGCTACATGAGATGGTGAAACGCTATTTCGTCTCTAGCAGAGCGCATCACACCCGGCTGGCGGCATAGAGCGGCCTCGTGATATGACAGACCACGTGGCACACAAAATGTTTTTGCAGTCACTCAATGTTGTTGGCAAATTTAACTCAATCTCTTTCTCCCTGTTTAGTGCTTATCACCATACAGGATGACTTTTCTCATCCGAGCAGGCCACCCATCAACGTAGTACAATATTATATACCGAGATTCTCATCAAGATGCACCACCACACAATGAGTGTCAATTGGGCCAGTACTATAATATAGCAAGGCATGGGATAAGAAGTAGTGCCGCGAACAAAGGAATCGCACACTTCGATAACGCGGGATTCAAGCTTTTGAAATTCGTGTTTCCTGAAGCTTTCGTCAGCCTGCATATCTTGCACCTAATCCGCTCGCTAAACTTATCACCTTATCATTAGTCGATATCTTGTGCCACTTGGGGCAAGCGGAACAACAAAAGATACAAGATTGGTAAAACAACATTTTTGATATTTTCTGTCAGTGAATTGAGGATGGTGCACGAACTATTTGGATCACAAACGGCTTCGAGCCAAGCCGTTGCACGCTAAATTTCAAGGGGGTATTTTCCAATTTAAAGCTCTTCGTGATGAAACGTCTCTTTTACTTTATGTTGAATCGATTTTACTGCGATTAAGCGATCATACCTACTGACATCTTCCTAGAGTATAGCGCGTTCTTTCTTGGAGGCTGAGACATCACAGCCAGAATTATGACCGATCTTGATCTAAGGAAATTACGCCTGAGATTTTCTTCGATAACCTTGGTGCTCACTTCTCCTGCCACAACCTAGCGCATTTAGGCTTTTCTAATTTTATCAGTTAAGGGCTGTAAAGCCTGTACTTTATTTATGCAAGTATTGCAAGTAACAGGCCAGAGCATTCATTTTCTCAGGACCTTTTAGGCAGCTAATCTACACTGGCCTTTGCGGAATGCCCTGAAAGAGGGACACTCTTTCTCTACTCTACTCTACTCTACTCTACTCTACTCTACTCTACTCTACTCTACTCTACTC